ATTTTGAAGGCATTAAACATTACCATAGCGATCAGAGTGTTGCGGCCAGATTAGACGCTCCTTGTGTTTATTATTATATTTCGAAAACACCACAGTTTTCATGCAGCTCATACCATATTATTTTGTTGTATTATTTCCGCCACACCTTAATTGCCGGTCCCTGAAAATATTGTCTGACATAAACCGGTCCGTGGGGCAAAAAAGGTTGGGGACCCCTGCTTTATAGTGATTGTTTTTATGGGTTTGCCAAGTAAAAATACAGCAATGCCAGTCTGCATATTTTTTTTGCTCGTGTGTGATGTCACTTAAGTTTGTGTGTGTGGGAAAGGAGAACCACAGTCGATGATGCGCTTTTCTGCCTTTTTATTGAATGCAGCGAGAACCGTTAAACACAAACACAACGAGCATACTCGCGCAGCAGGTGCTGTCAGCCACAGCCACTGTCACGCTCAGACACTCACGCAGCCTTGCAGAAGTCATTCACCACTGCGACAGGCCCTGCTTTTTAAAAGCAAATATCCCCAGTTTTTGTGCTGCTTGGATCATTCATAAACTTAAAATGTGTTCTGTGGTGTCTGTTGCATGTTTGACACCATAGTGACCATATGAAAGTGTTGTCGTGACCCTTGTTATGGTGTTGATGCTACTCATAAAGGTAGCTCAGGATACAAAGTGGATTTGTGATTGTTCTAGCATTTTTTTTTTAATCGGGTCACTGTAACCTTCCCCACTTCTCCCATGAGCAATTTTGAGTGTTGACCACTCTTGAAGTGCAAAATTCAACAACAGCTTTCGCAACAAGAGATTCTGGTTAAAAACATTGTATTAGGTTTTTAATATCGACATGCTTTTGACGTCTCTGATCCACTGGTGAAAGGACACTTTGATCCTCTCCTCTTTCATCTATAACTGCTTCAGACAACAGAGTGTATGCAGAAAAGTGGTGAAGATTGCACGACTGTCTTGTGTCCTGTGTGTTGTGTTGTGTTATTTTTGTTATTTTGACTTCAAAATGGCGCCGCGAGAGTGGCTGCCTTTCCGGCAGCTCCTATATTTTGTTGTTCTACTTCTTCCTTTCATAACTTTGCTGCTGTGAATTGGGAATTTCTCCATTGCGAGACTAATAAAGGTTTTCTTATCTTATCTTTTAAGAGTAGGTGTCACAGAACATTGGCAAGGCATATGCAGGAATAGTGGTTACGATTGCATGACTGTCCATGTCTGATGTTTTGTGTTATTTTATTTTATGTCTTTCGACATCAGACAACCAAAGTAAGTTATGTTGAATTGCTGCAGCGTGTGAGAGTTTTCTTTTTAAGTTCCTTAATAGGTTTTAAACACTACTTAGACTTTGAACCCCTGTGGCTGATTATGTACAGGGTGGTTGGATGGGATGTAAAAAGGCTATTCTTGCACAAGAGTGGACCTTTGACAAACTTGCACTGGAATTTTGACCATTGCCATTCATATGGAGTCTTTCAAGAAAACAATATTTGCTTATTCCGTGTGAGCTCACATGGAGTCTTTGCACCGCAGGTTATTTTGGAATTGTGTCTTGAGGGATAAATTTAGAAACTTTCTGTCCCGGGGTTTCACTCGTCTGCTGGTGTGCAGATGTTTGGACGGATGGACTAATAATGGATGTGTGCGTGTATTTGTCTGCTGCTCGTTCAATCATGCCACCATTGTTTTTTTTCTTAGCTGTGCATTGTGATCTGGCCTACTTATTTTGATGAGTGTCATCCAGCAAGTTGCAGCATGTTATATAAAAAAATGCTTTCATCTCTCCCTGATATCTCTCTGCCAACACTTGCTAACTCTCCCAGCCAAGCCCTACACAATGAGTCAGTGACTATTGTGCCAGCCAATGAGGTGCCCACTGTTTACCTGTTGTCATGGCAGCAGTAGAGAAAGACGCACTTACAGATGGATTTAAAGTGCCGTAGTGGTTTTTCAATGTTTAGAGGAGTTGCAAAGCATGTTGGGAAATGCACCGTCAACATTTGGCTCTGAGAACAAAAGTTGTAATACTCCAACATTTTCTTTCTTGTGTTTTATATATTCTAATTCTGTGCGCGCGTGTGCGTGTTTCAGACACTGAAATAGAACCAGCATTCCATCATAAAGTATGGCATAAATGCAATTAAGTGTGAATTATACATCATACATAGTCCATTCAAATTCTGAACCGTAGGCATTCACAGATCGAGATTATTTGGGACCTAGAGCTGGGTGTTGTTTTGTTAAAATGGAGGGCAGTCACTGTCAAATATTTGAAGAATCGATTATTCTGTTGATTATTCCATTGCAAAATCTGTTATAATTTTGTGAAACTGAATCAATTGTTGGTTTAGTCAGTGTTTCCCAAATAGCAGATGTTTGCAAATGTCTTATTTTGATTAAATACAACCAGTTTACCTTGACGAAATCGGAAAATAATTTCTCTTTGGAGGCTGAAATCAGAGGATTTGGAAATTTGGACAATTAATGTTAAACAATGGCACTAAACACTTATCCTGTTAGTAAAATGTAAGTCCTTAATATCGTCCTTCAATCACTACCGTAGACTTCACATCATACAGTGCGGTCATTTAAAAACACTTGTGAAACAGTGCAGTGAATGCCTAGTCGTCGTACTGATATCATGGCGCCATTAATGCATTTTGGCAACAGCAATGTAAGCATCTACCACACAGACCCAAACTGAATTGGGATACTGGTTGGATACACACTACTGAATTCACCATGCCCCTTTTTAACTTCCATTTTTGTGATATCGGTGACCCTAAGTTGATCTGAGAAATGTCTGAGTAGGTATTTTCTTGGTCTCGGCTCTTCCTTCAGAAGAATCCGTTACAGTTTCCAAGCTGTGATCCTTGTGTCGGTTGCTCACTTTTCATTCTCTGTCAGGGCGTGTGTTTGTTTGGTGGTTCATGTAGTTTCAGTTGTTGAAAGGCACACCAGAAAAGTATCAGGAAAGGTATCAGGAGGGACAGGAATGTTTGCTTATCCCAGCTGGGCTCGCCGTGGTAATCACTAACCAATGAGTCATCCAGTCAAAGTAAGGGGCATATACTGTACAAGTACAATG